AACTTGCTGAGGTGGTGCTGTGCTGTTGCTGCGAGCAAGAAAGTACTGGGGGCAGTGCCAAACGTCACTCTGGACATTCTCTATGTTACGATCTTTGCATCGCTTTCACTCGGAATTGCCCCGCCGTGGTGGTCTAGTGGCTAAGGTACTCGGCTGCTGACCCGCAGGTCGCGGGTTCGGATCCCGGCTGCAGCGGCTGCATTTCCGGTGGAGGCGGAAATGTTGTAGGCCCGTGTGCTCAGATTTGGGTGCACGTTAAAGAACCCCAGGTGGTCAAAATTTCCGGAGTCCTCCACTACGGCGTCTCTCATAATCATATGGTGGTTTTGGGACGTTAAACCCCACATATCTAATCTTTCACTCGGAATTCCATCAAACCAAACGAAACGCCGCGCGTGTCTGTCTTCCTCATGTATTGAAACCTGTAAGAAAGCCTTTTCAATATCAGCTGCCATTGCCATGCGATGGTGTTGGAAGTTCATCAGCATGTGCACAAGATCACAATTGACATTTAGTCTAGTTTCGACGTTGTCATTTAGAGAGGACCATATTGTGTACGATGATGACGCTTCAAATACTATTGTTATCTTTGTTGTTTGACGATCTTCCTTGACGACGGCTTGATGCGGCATGTAGTAGCAGTGTGTCATTGGGGCCCTTTGTTCCTCGGCCACTTCTGCTGCTCCACTTGTCAAGTACTCTCTAATGGCATTGTCGTGACTTCGCAATACATTTTCATCTTTCCGTAAACTTCGAGTGAGTTGCTTCAATATCGTCATTGTGACACCCTTGTTTTCATCAAGCTCCATGGTATCTTTCCATGGAAGTCGTACTGAGTATCTTTTCTCTTCACACTTTAGGTTCTTACTAAAATACTCCATCACACTCTCTTCTTTCATTGCGTCTTGCTCGGTGCCCTTTATGCCGATGGTTTCTATGTCCCAGAAATGCCTTAGCTCTGTCTCTATGTCGGGCTTGTCCACTTCAACGTGAAGTACCATAATGGTTGACCATTTCATTAACGTTGCGGCTAACTTAGTCTTGCCCTGCACCGTCCAACTGAATATGGTCTCTGTTGCCGTCAGCCTCTCCCAGTTTTCGGATGCCTCCGGTCATTATTTGCCAGTACTGGTCTGATCCAACAAGGATTCCAATTTATCTGCAGTCTGTGCTTGTACATAAACCGTCAGCCAACTTTAATCCATCGTCTTTACAGTTCTTCTTCATTGAAACTGGCAGGAGCGGTATTCTTTCTTTTGATATAACGTCAACCTCGAGTGCTTCCAACAAAACCTCTTCGCCACTATACGCGCTTCTAAGTTTCACTTCAACTGAATGGACAGTCTTTTCCTCTTATCCTCCTCCGAAAGAGCCTATGGCTAGTCTTTCTTTTCCTTTGATCGTGCAACCAAGCTCTTTTGACAAGCTCTTAAGGATGAATGTTCTTTGACTACCAGTGTCCAACAGAGCCCGGCAATAGCACGGCCTGCTTCTACCTTCTGCTATTGCCATTGCAGTCTACAGAAAGGTGTTTGACGATATATTCGTTTATTGGCAGGTTGACCCTTGCTCTTCCAGATTTTAATTTTTACCTTGAATGGCCGCGTGCACTGCGTGGTGAGTTCTTTTCTCCGGCACATAGACAGTGCGTGCCTTTTCCCGCATATCTTGCATTTTTTGCTTGCCTGGCATATTTTGGCCTCATGCAACGGAAGCGTCTATGAGACGCTTTTAGCTTCATTTTCTTCTCTTCATATAGCATATTCTTTCTGCAGTCATCAGAACAGTGGGTATTAGTCTCACCGAATATGCAAAACTTTAAAACAGCGCTCTGAAAATTAACTGCTCTTTCCTGTTGCCTACCGTCAAATTTTTTGCCGTGGCTTTCCTTGCGCTCTACCTATTTCTCTCTGTACATAACTTTGTCCTCTATATACCTCATCAAGCGCTTCAGAGTTTCCTCATGATGTTTAGTTGCATTCTGATCTTGATCTGAGGACCTACCGGCCGATTCTTTTTGTTTCAGTTGGAACCATATGTGCATCTTTGCAGGTAAATATCTTTTCAATACTGGTAGTAACATCGATGCATAGGACTTGATTTTCACGCCTAAGGATTCCAGCCCACGTGTATGCACTTGTACCTTGTCTGACAGTTCAGTCCTTCATAGTCCCGGCAGCTTGCTACTGCACTCAACTTAGTTAGCTCTTTCATGCGCAATTCTATAAGCACTTCGTCTTTCCCGTATCGCTGCTTGAGCATGTCGATAGCTTTCACATAATTTCTGTCTGAATATGGAAGTCCCTCCACGGCAGCTGCCGCTATCCTGGTTAGCGATGACAGAAGGTATGTGAACTTTTGATTCTCGTTTAATTCTGTTCTCACGTGAACAGCCGATTCAAACTAATGTCAGAATTTCTGCCACGTTCTCCTGTTGCCATAAAATTTCATTAATTCTATCTTTGGTAGCTTTACTGAACTTGCTTGTGGCGCTTGCCTGACATTGTCATTTGAAGTGACCTGTTCCCTCACTGGCTCGCGCCGTTCTCGTCGACAAAGGTAGGCATTGATGTTATGCAGAATGCTAATCATCTTTAGCTCGAACTCAGTGGTCCTCGCAAACTCGGCTTCGGCTGTTTCCGGCGTTATGAACTGTTCCATCCATTCGTCAAGTTTCTTTAACATGTCGGCGATGCCTCTAATTTGGCTGGCTTTCAGCGATATTGCCGTAGGTTCTTCATTCTCATGAAGCTTATTTTCTGCTTCGCTCACTAGGTGGGTTATTTGCGTCCTCGGCGTTTTTATTTTCATCGAAATCACTTCCCTGTTTATTTCGAATAATTGGGAAACGGCAGCTCGCTTAAAGATTTCAGCGGCGAATCTTCATCCGTGGCTGTGTCGTCTTCCGTGTCTTAGCCGCTCTCTCAGATGGCGATGTCCCGTCTCGCTGTTGTCGGTTTGCCCTGGGTCTCTTCTTCGTCCGTCCTCTGTGACCCGTCCTTCGTCCTGGTATTCTGTGGCCAGTGGGAAGAAGAGAAGCCTCTCTCCTGTTCATGGCACCATGTCGGAGAAACGAAACGAGACAAGCGTGGACTGCGCTCGATGCGAACGAACCGCTTTTTGCTTTTTGACTTGCTTTTTAACGCGCGCACTCTTCCATGCCTCTTGTCTTCTTCTTGTCCTTGTCTTTGGCGAGTTTTTATAGACTGTCTTTGGTGTTATTAATAGGTCTAGTGGCTTGCATCAACGGCTGCCACGGTATTTGTTTTTCACGGGTATGCTGATTCGGACGTATGCTAAGGAAGATGCCTACTGAGCGCCACAATTACTGTTTACGCGGTGTTACGCGGGGTCAGACCGGTTAGAGCTGTGTGAAAGGCACGCTGAAACGCTGAAAAGCCGAAAGCTTTTTCCGATAAATTGGAGATGCCTATAAACTTTGCGCTTGAACCGAAATTTTAAGATATCTTGTTGTTATGTAATTATTATTGAATGGAAAGTAACAATTCGCATGGTCACGTCAGTTTCGAGCACATACATTTGTAATATATATTTACTCTAAGCCGTCATTAGAGAGAATAATTATGGTTAATGAATGTCTTCTGTGTAATTTATGCTAATATTCTAACCATAATAAGTTGCACTAAATAACAGTTAAACTTGAAAATAATTCTGTTACGTGTACTTAAGGCAACGCATCCGCTCACAAGGAAACTGTGCTGTAACGTAACTATTTCGACCTAAACAAATGGAGTTGTGCTTGCTTAAAATTTAAAGATAATAATTTTCAACCAATCAAATCGATGTTGTGGATGCGTTTCCATGTTTTGCCAAAAACTGACTAGTTTACGTCATGTAAAACATTTACTTACATGAAAAATGCTTTGTTATCTGCAACTTCACAGGCGAGTTCCATCGAGTCGGTCCTACACAGTCACCACCAAACTTAGCAGGCGTTGAGCGTGTGTTCAAGACATATGAGAAATTTGAACATGCCCGACATGCTGTGCATAAATATGTGCGAAAATTGCGCCCCTTCGAACTATAACCTTATTACTTTTGCGACGAGCCATCACTGACTCGCGTCTCTTAAGAAGGCAGCCGACACACCTCCATGCTGTGCTATGATGATAGCGGCAACGTGTTTCTAGTGTGGCTCTTAACAAGAAATGTGCATGCGTTTGGACACAATTCCGACCATAAGGATAGTAAGAACTGCTTCAATATAACACAGTTCCTTAAAACAACCCGCAACGCCCACTTAGCGTAGGCGCGAGACTTGTAAAACGACATTGGCTTTCACGAGGAAATGCTTATGGCTCCATAAATCGGAGGCAACATGAGGGGCCTCAGGAGGCGCATGAATCTCAGCCCACTACCCTATACTCTGCTACAGTGTAGCCACGGTGTGCGAGTGTGCCAGCGTTGCCCGACAGTCAGGCCGCTCACGTGTTCGTTAAAATATTCAATACGTAGTACTAATAATAATAAACGAGGTTTTTGAGAAATAGCGCTAAAATTTAACAAGCTCATTTCTGTATGCTCTATGATAAGGTCGCTTAACACATATTGTGATAGAAAGTTGCGTATTATGTGTATAGATGGCTGGTTACTTAAATTACTCCGTCAGTCAATAAACTTAATACGGGTCCTAAGGTACTACAGAGACGTATAGTTGCAGGCCGCGCCCAGGTTGGGGTCGGAGGACCATGGTTGTAGACCCGTTCATGGGCCCTTTGCAGAGTCCTACTTTTTTACTGAAGAGCACCGTTTTTAAGGGCATCCTCTCAGTCATCTTGTTGACTAAGAAGCATTTTTTATGCATTTCATATTCCTTTAGAGACCTCCTTCAGCAGTCTTTTTGTAGAGTTAGTAGAGACATGCATCTGACGCAATCATTTGGGACTGAATTCGCCGCATGTGTATACGCACCTGGATGGCTTATTCCAGGTGCAACTATTGCACGATATGTAGAAACTAGGCGTACTTTGCTGGTGCAGGTGACACTGGTTTCTACGCGCCAGATGGCCGTATCTTCGTCTGCGGCAGGTTGAAGGAACTCATTAAGTGCATGGACCAGCAGGTAGCACCCGTCGAACTCGAAGAAGTACTAGCTGTGGACGCCGCCGTGCGACATGTGGTCGTGGCCGGTGTGCCGCACCCAGAGTACGGTGAGGCCGCCCGTGCCTTCGTCGTGCTCAACCGCCACCAAGGGGACGACAAGGAGGAAAGCAAGATCGCTGCCAGGCTTCGTGCTCTCGTTGCCGGTGCGTGGCTTCTACGAACAAATGTTGGCATTAACCAGGTAAAGCTGGTCGCCGAGATGGAGGGCTGCGTATGAGGATATCTTCTCTCAATCGAAATTCAGCAACCTAAAACAATCTACTATTTATTTATTTATTTACGTATTTAATTACTTTGTTCAGTGACATGAGGGATTATGTAGACTGTCCTCGATTATAAAAGAGTACCGGTGATCACGTTACCTGCGCTCTGCGGTGGTTGCTTACAGTTCCATCAACCAACAGCTAACGGAAGCACGCCTGGTTTTGTCGTCATCTACTGGCAAACAGAGTAACCAGTCATGGCCGGTAGGCAGGCGCTGTTACACTACGCTGACTCTTCGCTCGCGCAAAGGGTGATGTCTGCAACTTGCTCCGTGCCGGCGCAGAACGCTTGTTTTTTTTTGCTGCTGTTAAAGCAACACAGGTATCGCACGTAGCGCGAACAGAGAAGCAGCGTAATCTAACAGACCGTTTTTTTTATTTACGAAGGTCTATCCTTAGGCACTTGAACAGCAGCCCCTGGCTTCCGACATGGCGCGCACGCGTCGTGTTTCTCTGCGGCCATCCGCGCTCCCCAGCAAAACCAACGAGTGCCGCCTCGCGAGCCCGGATACCGCAAGAGGGCGCATTCACCGTGGAAAAGCTGTAGAAGGGATGCATCCCTTCTGATCAATGAAAAGATTAGAAGGAAGGGAGCTCAGTGGCTGGCAGAAGTACATAAAAAAGATAGAAAGGCAGCTACGAAATTTTGGAGCCATCTAAACTCCCTAAGAAATGAGACGAGCCTAGAGCAGAGTTTTATAACTACAGCCCAAGGTGTTAGGCTAGAAGGGGACGAAGCTATTGAATATATAAGAACAAGGGCGACAGAAAAATTTCAACAAAGTACTTTATGCACCACAATAGACAAGGACGAATCAAGTAGTGCAATGGCTCCATTTTCACAACAAGAGTGGAAAAGGGCTGAGAAAAGGGTTCCTAGTAGTACATCAACAGGCCCAGATGGCATTCCAATTAGGCTGATAAAGACATTAGGTCCGAAGTCTAAGCAGGCTTTGAGAAAGGCAGTGAGCACAATAATAATCGACGGTGAAGTTCCCGATGGATGGAAACTTAGCAGGATGAGCATGATCTATAAAGGAAAGGGGGACAAAGCTGACATAAACAACTACCGTCCTATAACAGTGACATCAGTGGTCTACAGGCTGGCGATGCAGATTATAAAGGAAAGACTGCAGGCATGGATAGAAGATGAGGGGGTGCTGGGGGAACTGCAGAATAGGTTTCGGAAACACAGGAGGTTGGAAGACAATCTGTTCTCACTGACGCAGTGCATCGAAATAGCAGAAAAGGAACACAGGCCCCTGTGGCTAGCATTTTTGGATATCAAGGGAGCGTACGATAGCGTTGTTCAAGAGGAATTGTGGGGAATACTGGACACACTAGCCGTGGAACATGTAGTCACTAATGTTTTAAAGGGTATCTATAAAGGTAACAAGGTAGTTATAAAGTGGGAAAAACAAGTATCCAAGCCTGCAGAGGTAAAACGGGGGCTTAGGCAGGGGTGCGCCCTGTCACCCTTATTATTCATGATGTACCTAAAAGGATTAGAGACAAAATTAGAGGGAAGTGGACTGGGCTTCAACCTCTCTTTAGTCAAACAAGGAAAACTTATTGATTAGGCACTACCAGCATTAATGTACGCAGATGATATAGTGCTAACGGCCAACAACAAGGAAGGTTTGCAGAGATTGATGGACATCTGCGGTAATGATCGGTTAGATTTTAGATTCAGTAAGGAAAAATCAGCAGTCATGATTTTCAATGACAACGAAGGTAGTGAGCTTAGAATACAGGAGTTCACGCTAGAGATAACAGATAAATACAAATATCTGGGCGTATGGATAAGCAATGGGACCGAGTATCTGAGGGAACACGAAATATACGTGACGACTAAAGGTAACAGGAATGCAGCAGTCATGAAAAATAGGGCACTGTGGAATTACAATAGGTGTGATGTTGTGAGAGGAATATGGAAAGGGGTCATTGTTCCTGGGCTGACGTTCGGCAATGCGGTCTTGTGCATGAGATCAGAAGTTCAAGCAAGATTAGAAATTAAGCAACGTGGAATAGGCAGGCTTGCTTTAGGAGCTCACGGGAATACACCAAATCAGAGAGTACAAGGTGATATTGGATGGACATTATTTGAGGGCAGGGAAGCTAGCAGCAAGATAAAATTTGAGAAGCGATTGGGAGAAATGGGGGAAGAGCGTTGGACTAGGAAGGTTTTCAGTTAGTTGTACATGAAGAATGTGGATACAAAATGGAGAAAACGAACCAGGAAGTTGACTGGTAAATACTTAGAAAACAGCAGGTGGCCAAACCAAAAAGAACTATCGGTTAAGAAGAAAGTGAAGGAAAGGGAGACTTACATGTGGAGAATGGGCTTGATTAAGAAGTCCGCACTAGAGATCAATCGAACTTTTAAGCAGGAAATCGCCAAGGAAAGGATCTATGATAATACTTGGGGTAGTTCTCTACTGTTTGAGGCCAGGACGGGGCTACTGCGAACCAAGACATATCGGGCCAAATACGAAGGGGTAGACACAGTATGCAGTGCGTGTGGAGAAGAAGAAGAAACTGCCGAACACTTGATAATGTACTGTAAAGGGCTTCACCCTATAGTTCAGGATGATGGCGCAGAATTTTTCAAAGCACTTGGGTTTAGGGACCGGGAGGGCAAAATAAACTTTAAGCGGGTAGACTTCACTAGAAGGAGGTTATCTGATTGGTGGCTAAAGTCAAGGCACGAGTGAAAATTAAACTCTTCACTGCAAAGTACGAATCCTCAAACTCAATTTTTAAGGAAAAAATATAGTTTTGGTTCATTAGGTATTACGGCTTGGTGGCGCTAGCCACCGCCCGATCTAAAGGGTACAGCCATATCCATCCATCCATCCATCCATCCATCATCCATCCATCCATCCATCCATCCATCATCCATCCATCCATCCATCCTCCATCCATCCATCCATTCCATCCATCCATCCATCCATCCATCCATCCATCCATCCATCCATCCATCCATCCATCCATCCATCCATCCATCCATCCATCCATCCATCCATCCATCCATCCATCCATCCATCCATCCATCCATCCATCCATCCATCCATCCATCCATCCATCCATCCATCCATCCATCCATCCATCCATCCATCCATCCCTCCATCCATCCATCCATCCATCCATCCATCCATCCATCCATCCATCCATCCATCCATCCATCCATCCATCCATCCATCCATCCATCCATCCATCCATCCATCCATCCATCCATCCATCCATCCATCCATCCATCCATCCATCCATCCATCCATCCATCCATCCATCCATCCATCCATCCATCCATCCATCCATCCATCCATCCATCCATCCATCCATCCATCCATCGGCGGCGGCGCTGAACGCGGCAGATAGCAGAGCGCACGCGATTTCAGTGTGCGCATGGTCTTTTTTTCCTCGTAGGAGTAAGAGTCACTGCCAGAGTCATCTGGCTGTACTGAAGACAAGTGTTTTTTTTGTTGTTCTGTTGCATTTATTTTGGTCGAATTTGGGAAAATGCATGACAACTGCTGAATTTTTCTATATAGATTATTGTAAAGAGTTATCAATTCGTTTGTGGTAGTATTACTTTTTTTCCATCTTGGTCTGTTTTCTATCAGTGCTAAATAGCTGCACTTGAGAAATATACGCGCATTCTACGATTACTCTTTTCTGGAGAAGATTATGGATGAAAACTGGGCTAATTATAGTCGTTGAATCGTTCTACCTTGCTATTAATTGTGACACATTTGTTTTTACTATTTTATCACGTATGGTTATTTATGAGGTGATAAACCAAAGCAGAGTTACGTTCTAGATAACTGAGAGTTCTGGCCGTCTCTCTGAAGTAAAATGATAAGTAATTTGGCTCAATTATTGTAGAAGGCTTCGATTACCCTACCTACATTTTATGCCCACGTCTTTCACAGTAAAAATGCTTGAGTCGTCATCGTCTACCTCTTTCTCATTAGTATTTTTCTTACTTTTTGATTGGACAATGGCAATATCAGTATTGTGTTCATTAAATGTACCCTCAACGGCACCCAAATCAAGGGCTAGCATACGAACTAGAAGGGCGTAGACCACTAGCTGAAAAAAAGTGGAAATTGTGACTGCTATATAACGCGCAGTGTTTCTTACCAGGTACACTATACTCTTAACGCGTATTGTGTTCTTCTGGAATAGAACAATATTTCTACGCTCGTTATTTTATTGTGCAACATATCCACTGAACACAGTAAAACCCACAGTGCCAGTGAGCGGCCATAAGTGATGAAAACACGCCTGTAAGCAGCCCGCGCATGGTCGTCGCAGAAATGACGGTGATGTAGTCTAGACGTGTGGTGACCGCCTGTACCTTCTTCCCTGTATCTTGCTTCTACGGCGTGACGGGAGGTGGCTGAAAAGGAAAACTGGGGAAGCCTCGCGTATACCTCGTGAGCGAGTGCGCAGCGCTGTACGCTATGTGAGCACGACCTTCGCACCAGCTGTTATGACATTAGCGTGTCTGCAAGAATTCTCTAAACGACGTTACAACGAAAAGCAGCGCTAGTTTAATGAAAGTAAAGGAAAAGGAACTCATCAAATCAGTGAAACCCGTGAGCGTAGAAGCAGCACTTATGACTTCGTTTACGGACCGGGCTGTCATATGATGCAAAGCAGCTGTTTGACTAGCCTGCGTAACGCTGTCCCTCCATACGAACGCGCCATGCGCCATAGATATTGGCGAGTGTCAATTAGACCACGCCGCCTCTGCGCGTTGACGTCACGTTTCCCTTGCACTGTGCACTGACGTCACTTTCTCCCTAGCCTGCCGAGGCCTCACCGCGGCGCCCGCGCGCAACGCTTGCCGCGACCACTGCTCGCTACACCGCCGACTCGTTGGTTCACGCGCAATAAACCTCAGGTTCACCTA